GAGAGTGCTCTGAGTGCCCCTTCTGGCACGCGTGCCATAGGTTCCCCATCACTGGTTTATCCTAAATTTTGTCATAGCTTTGAGTGGTTTTTTAATATGCGTCTTTTGCTAGGGAGCCGCAGCAAACCCAGAAAACGAAGACCAGCAACAGAGGCTCCGGGAAGCAGCCGAAGGTCTACGCGTGGCCACCAACGCGGCTGCACAGAACGCCATCAAAAAGAAAATTGTGAACAGGCTGGAGGTGAGAACGCAGCCAGGGAATCAATCCCTCCTTGTCTTTCCTTGTTTCTCATTTTTCATAAGACATGTTAGCTTCAACAGTTGTTGATGCAGTTAGCCCTCCGTATTCACAGATTCTTTATCCGTGGATTCAGGCATCCACAGCTTGAAAAAAAATATATAGTCAGCCCTCCTTATCCACGGATTTTGTTATCCACAGAGAGTCCTGGAACCAAACCCCAATGGATAACAAGGACCCACTGTATAGTCAACCCTCTGTATCCACAGATTCTTTATCCACAGATTCAAGCACCCATGGCTTGAAAATATTCAGTAAATATACAAATTCCTTCTATTTTTGTTTTTTTATCTCCTGTTTGTTTCCATTCATTTTCTTTCTCTTTAAAATTCCAAACAACAAACCTTAATTTTGCCATTTTATATAGGGAACGCCATTTTACTAGGCCATTGTATTTCACGGGACTTGAGCATCCATGGATTTTGGTATCCATGGGTATCCTGGAACCAAAACCCAGCAGATACCAAGGGCCCATTGTATATAAATGAATGTTTGCTTTTGGGGATTTACATACAAGGGTCTCTTGGTATCTGCTGGTTTTTGGTTCCAAAATATATTCCCCAAGATTTGGCGTGGTACAGTGGTTAGAGTGTTGGACTAGGACACTGAGAGACGAGAGTTCGAATCCCTGCTCAGCCATGGAAATTCACCAGGTGACCTTGGGCAAGCCACACTCTCTCAACCTCAAAGGAAGGCAAAGGCAGGACCCCCCCCCCCGAACAAATCCTGCCAAGAAAACCCCATGATAGGTTAGCCTTAGGGTTGCCATAGGTGAGAAATGACTTGAAGACACACAACAACAAGGGCAAGGTCCTCCTAATATTTTGATAAGAGATGCAGAACCTTTACCCTTCCAGATGTTTTGGACTATCATTCCCACAATCGCTTACTGTCAGGCATAGAAGCATAGAATCATAAAGGGCCATCCAGTCCAACCCCAGTCTGCCATGCAGGAACTCAAAATCAAAGCATCCCCGACAGATGGCCATCCAACCTCTGTTTAAAGACCTCCAAAGAAGGCTGGAAGTAGAAATAAATGGGAGATACTGGCTGGAAATAAAATGTATTTCTTTTCTCCAGGTTGCTGCTAAGCAGGCAGCAGCGGCTGCGACCCAAACCATTGCGGCGTCACAGAATGCAGCCATTTCAAACAAGAATACGGCCGCTCATCAACAGCTTGTCCAGAGCTGTAAGGTAAGGGTCACTCAAGGTGGTGGGAAACCATGAAAAAGAAGCAGGAGACAGGTCTCGAGATGCAAGTTTTTTTTATTATTAAATAGTCAGCTTTTTTACTAATAGAACAGCCATCTTTTGAGCATCTTGAGACCCTTCTCCAATTTCTTTTGTCAATTTCATTGTATGCTCCCCAGTTTTTACTTCTTAAGCCCAGAATCCTCTTGTAGATTCATGGTGGGGTGAAAAACAATCATGCAAATGGCTGGATTTTCTGAAAACATTGTGTAAGGGTTCAAAGATATAGCCATGTTAGTCTGTGGAATCAGTACATAGTGAGATCTTGTAGCATCTTTGAGACTAACTGAAAGAACGAAGTTGGCAGCGTGAGCTTTTGTAGACTTCAGTCTACTTCCTCGGGTGCATTTTTAGAAAGCTCCTGCTGCCACCTTCTTTCTTTCAGTTAGTTTCAAAGCTACTACAAGATCTCTCTACATTGTGTAAGTGTGCTAAACTACTAGGGCAAGGGGGGTGGAGAAGTGTGGCCCCTGGATCCCAATTTTGCAGCCTTTGAAGCCCCTCGCCAGTCTCCCAAAGCCTCCCAACCCTCCAGATAGATAGATAGATAGAAAGATAGATAGATAGATAGATTTTTGATGTGAATTCCTTTGGGACAATTTCTACAGTTCTCTATGTAAAGTCATAGGCTTTCATGGCCAGCATCCATAGTCTTGTTGTGAGTTTTTCGGCTGTGTGGCCATGTTCTAGAAGAGTTTCTTTCTGACTTTTCGCCAGTATGCCAGCCACAGATGCTGGCGAAACGTCAGAAAGAAACTCTTATAGAACGTGGCCACACAGCCACAAAAAGTTCTCTATGTAGTTGGTTTGTGGTTTTCCTTTTGTGTCTTGCAATCATTCTTCCAACTGTCTCTAGAACGTAGCCGATCACATCCCGCAACTCGTCCAAGGTGTGAGAGGGAGCCAAGCCCAGGCGGAAGACTTGAGCGCTCAGTTGGCCTTGATCAACTCCAGCCAAAACTTCCTCCAGGTACCGCACTCTAGAAGAACCATCAGACGGACTGTTTATACTTCTAGTTTAATTAAATTAAATAGGTGCAAAGGCACACCCTGGCAGCCCATCAATGGCTGGTTCGTTGGGGTGGGATGGATTTGCCACCAGACACTATCCAATTGTTCATGCATAGCTTTGCACAAGGAGGTGCCAAGTTCATTTCATCTTTCTTAGGGTCATAGAGCGGCACAAAGGAGGTATTGAAGACCTCATTGTGCAACATTCAAGAAAATGCCAGCGCAAGTCACCAAGAAGATTCCAGCCAATATTTTATTGTCTGTGTATAATAATAATAATAATAATAATAATAATAATAATAATAATAATAATACATTTTATTTATAGCCCGTCTCTCTCTGCAGATCGAGGTGGGTTACAACAAACAAAAATAATAATAAAATACAATATACAATTAAAATCCACATTTCTAAACAATCCCCTACTCCCAACCCTCCTCCCAATCATAAAAAAGAAGCAAACTAAAAACAATAACAATATAAAATGAACAACAATATAAAATACTGATTAAAAAGGGAAAAAATTAAAATTAACTAAAATTAGAAGTAATTAGAAGTGAGATCTATCTTTCTTGGGGTAGATGGGGGCTATCAATATCAGTCGGGGGGAGGCTAATCTGGAAAGGCCTGCTGGAAGAGATCCATCTTAACAGCCTTTTTAATCTTTTGGATGCGCCTTGCCCAGAAAGCTTGGGTTATTATGCCATCCTGAGCACTGTAAAGAAATAAACTGGAGGTACGGGAGGTATTGTGTCCTGTTTCCCCTCTTCATCGAGGGAAGGAAAGAAACCTTAGTATTGAACTCATTGAAATATTCCTTCCCATAAAGGGTAAGTTTGGGATTCGGAGTAGCAGGATTGATTGAGAGCCAGCGTGGCAAAGTGGTTTGACTATGACTATAATATAAATATTACTATCAGCTAATAAGATGCAGATCTGCTCAAGAGGAGAACGCTCAGAGATGAGAAAGAGAATATGATTAAGGAACTTGTGTCTAGGGGATGTATAGAAGGAATATTGTAGCAGATAGTGATAGATACCCAAACTGTAGGTGATAAACCTACATTTTCGCTCATTTCTCTCACACTGGTGAAAAGTGTGTCACGCACATGCGCACACCCAAATGATGCTCGGAGGACTTCTGCAGACAAAATGGCCGTGTCCAACCCTAGCCAACAGCTCCTCTGCTTCCTTTTCTCTCTGTTGTCCTTTCAACAGCCAGGAAGCAAAATGGTGGCCTCGGCCAAAGCGGCCGTGCCCACGGTGGGCGACCAGGCGGCAGCGATGCAGTTGAGCCAGTGTGCCAAAAACTTGGCGACCAGCCTGGCGGAGCTCAGAACTGCCTCCCAAAAGGTAAGCGGATGCCTGGACTCTTGCACCGGGGGATGGTTTGGGAGGATTGGAGACTCTTGAACCTGTCGCTTTGGACGGGAGACGGGTAACATATGGCCCATGATCCACTTACAACTGCAGCTCTTTTGTGTGTGTGGGTCACAAAGAACCCGAATATTTGTGTTTTCCAACACTGGTATCATGGATTGTCACCGCAATGAGGAAATATATGGTTGTGGGTATGATCTGCGATGCTTCATTCCCATATGTACCATTACTTTCGGTGTATTAACTTTCAGTTGTATGAAAAATGGAATGTGTTGTTGGGGAAGGAATTGGTGGTAATAATAATTCCTGAAGCCTTTGGGACTGAACTGACTTTATACAAATCTTTCACTGTTTTGACTGGTTCAAAACTATCCTGTTTTGACTTGTTTAACATGCTTCTTAGGCAGTGTGATACCACTTTAACTGCCATGGCTCAATGCTGTAGTATTCTGGGATTTGTAGTTTTGTGAGATATTTAGCCTTCTGTGTTGGAGAGCTCCGGTGCTACAAAAAACTACAACTAGCATGGAGCTACGGCAGTTAAATTGGTGTCAAACTGCATTATTTCTGCAATGCAGATGCACCTTAGTTTAAGAGTTGTTGTTTTTTTTAACCGTTCTACATTGTTTTAAAATTGGTCAAGTTAATTTCATTGTATGTCTCCTTGGGGTCTTTAAATATAGGGAAGGGTATAAATATTTTAATAAAAGTATAATAAGTAAGTTGAAGGGAATCTTTCATCTCTTTTGTGCCTAGGCGCATGAAGCATGCGGACCCATGGAAATCGATTCTGCCTTAAATACGGTCCAGACGCTCAAAAATGAACTCCAGGATGCAAAGATGGCAGCTATCGATGGGCAGCTGAAGCCCCTTCCAGGAGAAACGGTGAGCTGGAGAGGATGGGAGAAGGTGTTTGCAGAATAATTATTCATATATACAATATTACCAGTATTTGTCCCAGTCTCTGATCGGTCAACAATAAAACTGTAAAGGGTGGGGCAGATAAAAAGTCACAATAAAACCAAACAGTCATTGTGTAAACTGAGATCAACTAAAAGTTGGCCAACATGGTGTAGTGGTTTGAGTGCTAGACAATGCCTCTGGAGACCAGGGTTCAAATCCCTGCTCAGCCATGGAAACTGTGACCTTGCGGAAGTCACACACTCTCAGCCTCAGAGGATGGCAACGGCAATTCCCCCCTGGACAAATTCTGCCAAGAAAACCCCATGGAAACCCACTGGGTGACCTTGCAGAAGTCATAATCTCTCAGCCTCCAAGGAAGGCAAGGGTACATTCCCCCCTGGACCAATTCTGCCAAGAAAACCCTGATAGGTTCATCTTAGGGTCTCCAAGGGCTGAGTTGGGATTCGAACCCTAGTCTCCAGAGTCATAGTCCAGCACTCAAACCACGCAGGCTCTCCTCGGTTCTTATTACTATTCCTTTTCTCCATTCAGCTTGAAAAATGCGCTCAGGACCTGGGGAGCACCTCAAAGGCGGTCGGTTCCTCCATGGCTCAGCTGCTGACATGTGCGGCCCAAGGCAATGAACATTATACAGGTAAAAACCAGCCCAGCTTCCCAGGAAAGGCAAAAGTTCTTTATCAGGGAGGCTTGTGAGCTGTGGGAAATGGATTATAATCCGCACACTGGGTCTCCTTGTGCTGTTTTTGGTTTCTCAAGTGTACTCCCAAAAATACATGCAAAATATTTGTATCGATCAGAGCCTGGGATGTTCTTGTTGTTGCTGTTTTAAGTAATATTTTATTTGCTATTGAGAGAGCACTGTGTTAGGAATGCATTATTACTCTTAAATGCATTTAAAAATGCAGATGTGCATCAGTTAAGAAAGCAAGAGAGAGGTTCCTGAATCACAAATAAGAGAAGAGCTTTTTCCATGTTCCAGGAAACTTTTTATCCAGAACTAACTATGTGTGTGTGTGTGTGTAAATAAAACAGTTCGACACCACTGCAACTGCCATGATCCTGTCTTGAGCAATGCTGGGATTTGTAGTTTGGTGAGGCACCAGAGCTCTCTGACACAGACCAGGCTGAACACCTCACCATATTGCAAAAATTGACTGGGATGTGGACCTGGTGTCGTGTGCCATGGCTAGTTGACTCAGTTTCCATGGCTTAGTGGATGACGCTCTCTTAGCCTCAGAGGAAGGCAAAGGCAACTCTCTAAACCAGTGATTCCCAAACCCTGGCCTTTCTGTGTTTTGGACTTAAGCTCCCAGAATCCCAGACCATTAGTCAAGATGGCCGAGGCTTCTGGTAGTTGAAGTCCAAAACATCTGGAGGACCAGATTTTGGAAATCACTGCTCTAAATAAATCTGGCCATGAAAACCTTTCCATGAGTTTCCAGGAGTGGCACTAAGCCATGAAAGAGGACCAGAGTCTCAATGCCTTCTTCATACAGGGGTTGCGGCCAGGGAGACGGCTCAGGCGTTGAAGACGTTGGCTCAGGCCGCCAGGGGTGTCGCGGCGTCTACCAGCGATCCGGCCGCGGCACACGCCATGTTGGACTCGGCACGGGACGTCATGGAGGGCTCTGCCATGCTCATCCAAGAAGCCAAGCAAGCCCTGGTGGCTCCTGGGGATGCTGAAAGCCAACAGAGACTGGCCCAGGTGAGAGACCTCACCTTTGGTTGATTTATTTCCTGCCTTTCCCCCGGGTTGGGATTCAGTTACTGCTGTCATGTATAAAGTTTGAGTCAGAGGGCAGATTCTAGTAGAAGTTGAGAATCCTTTCTCCAAAATGCTTGGCACCCCAAGTGTTTTGGAGTTGAGACTTTTTTTTTTTTTAAGAATTTTAATAATGTCTAATTAACCATTTGTAAGCCGCTCTGATAGCTTTTTGGCTGAAGAGCGGGGTATAAATACATAATAATAATAATAATAATAATAATAATAATAATAATAATTTTATCTTGTGAGTTGCCTCGTGTCCCCTTATAGAAGAAATGCGGCATGGGAAAAGAACAGGATATAAATAAATGTAAGAAGAAGAAGAAGAGAAATAAATAAATAAATAAGATTTTGGGATATAAGTAGCCTAGTTTGTACCTGTACTGATTTGTGAGGCTGGAGAGCAATGCATTGCTGGAGAGAGATGCTGCTGGAAAGAGACGTGAGGATCTGTGAAATGGTTGGAGTCCAAGCGTAGCCACCTTGATTCCCATTTTGGGAGGAAGGCGGGATATAAATCCCATAAATAATTAATTAAAATAGTGCTTGGCCACAAATCCATGGCTCCCATCTTTTCACAGATCCTTGCTTCTCTCTCCAGCCTCGCAGATAGAGTGCATACTATGCTACTTGTATACCAAAATGTTCCAAAATCGAAACATCATGTCAGCATGCACAATGTTTCGGATTTTGGATTATTTGAGGTTTTCAGATAATGGATGTTCACCTTGTATTATGAAATATTCTTTCCCTTTGGTTGCATTGTAGGTGCCCTGCACCCAAGTACGGTGTTTTGTGCATGGTCAGGTTGCAGAGTGAATTCCCCTGGTTTCTCTTTTGTCTTTCATTAATTTCTCTGTCTCGCAAAGGTGGCCAAAGCTGTTTCCCATTCACTGAACAACTGTGTGAATTGTCTTCCTGGCCAAAAGGATGTTGATGTGGCCTTGAAGAGTATTGGCGAATCCAGCAAGAAGCTGCTTGTGGAATCGGTGAGCTGTTCGAGTCTTAACAATAACAACAATAGGTTTCCTAAAAAATGCAAAGCCCTCTCCAAATGAAAGCTTTCCACCACTCCTCCAAATAAGAGCTCTGACCTCCCACAAATGAAATTTTCCTTCAGTCCCCAAATTTCTAGCTCAGTAAAGACTCCTTTATTGAGAAATGATGTCCATTCATTGGTTTTGTAAATGCAGAGACGTACTTGAGGGGGGACCCCCCCCCCAGAATACCACCAGGCTCTTTGGAAAGACCTTATATACTCAAAACATTTGATGGAGAGACTATTGGGGACTCCACAACCATTATTCAGAACCAGGAGATGTCATATCCATAAGCTATATGGCAACGAAAATCGATTTGACTGGTACTGGTTAGTACCACATTTTTGCATTTTGTTCCTTATTTAGTTATTCTAAACCAGTGGTTCCCAAACTTTGGTCCTCCGGGTATTTTGGACTTCAATTCCCGTAAGCCCTAGACAGCTTGGTCAACAGCCAGGAATGCTGGGTGCTGGAGTCCAAAACATTTGGAAGACCAAAGTTTGGGAATCACTATTCTAAACCATATTGTTTGTTTACCTATAGACTTGTAATCAGAGGAGGATTTTAATTTTAGTAAAAATGTATTTAAAGAAAAAAGAAAGACGAGTTAAGGCTTCCAACGAAAAAGAAGTCTTCAGGAGTGACAAAGGAAATGCAAACCCAGCTAATAGAAGAGTTCTAGATTCTCTGGACTGCTAAAAATGTTGAGGCTAAAAGAAGATTTCAGGGGGGAGGCAAAATCCTTATTCAGAGGGGCAGTGCCCTTATTTTGCTCCCCTTAGCTCTAGTTCAGACCTCTAAACAAAACCTGCGTGTCAGCATCCTTCTTAGTTAGCAGAAACCCTTCCTTTGAGGCGAGGCATCCTCCGAAGGAGAGAGGTGCTTCCTCATTTTCCTCCTTTTCCTTGCAGCTGCCTCCCAGTTCCAAATCCTTCCAAGAAGCCCAGAGCGAACTCAACCAAGCCGCTGCCGACCTGAACCAGTCGGCTGGAGAAGTGGTCCATGCCACGCGGGGTCAGAGCGGGGAGCTGGCGGCCGCCTCCGGGAAATTCAGTGAAGATTTTGACGAATTCCTTGATGCTGGGATCGAAATGGCTGGGCAAGCTCAGGTGAGATGGCTTCAGCCCTTGGCTTGGTGGCTTCTTCACCGCTTTGGACATGAAAGTGGAGTATAAATGTTGAGATGAAATATAGGCTTGCAATGCAGAGGGGCAGGTTATAAATAAAGTTTATTATTATTATTATTATTATTATTAGGCTGCATCCACACTGCAGAATTAATGTGGATTGATACTGCTTTAACAGCCATGGCTCCATGCTATGGAATGCTTTATAGCTTTGTGAGATATTTAGTCTTTGTGATTTTTGGGAGCAAATCATACCCATTTATTATTATCATTATTACTTTATTTTCGTATATTCTGCCTTTTTCCCAGTATATGGACTCAAGGTGGCGAAAGCCCCCCATATGTGCAAAGGTGAACAACAACACACACACACCCTCATCCTACAGAATCCCTTGTCCAAAGCGCCTCGAATGCCCAAAAGCACATGAGGGAAAGTCCCATCCATCAATCCCTTCATTTTTCCTCCATATCCTTGTCAAAATGGCAACTGGAAGTGACCCAACATCACTTCTGGTCACTGTTTTGGAGGAAAGAAAGAGGAATGTGAAAGCATTTTGGCATACTTCTCCTGGAGGGTGCAGCCCTGTGGAAGTTTGAGGCGCAATTGTTTTCCCTGCTCAGTTGCAGTTGCGGTTTCATTGCCACTGCGGCAGATGGCCACCAAAATTTGGTGAGAGGATGGTGTAGGAGGGCTATGGGATGCCCACCTTTCCTTTATGGCCTCCAAACCTGGCTAGCTCCTTTTGCATTGAGTTGCACATCATCACTTGGTAGGGGAGAAGATGCACCCATAATGAATCTCTCTCAAACCTTTCTGCCTGATGGAGAGAGATCCAGTGTTCCCTTGTCCCCGTCGTACATGCCTCCCTTCTTTATAAAAAGGGAAGAAAAGCTTTTTTCAGTACGCAGTGATGGTCATCATAAGATCTCTGGACTCTGCCCTCCCCTTTACCTGTGTGCTTGAGGATTCCCAACTCAACCGGTGTTGATTTCAGAAGATTCCTCTGGTGAGCTCCGTTATCATTCACCAGTGATCAACAATGTGTAACTTTTTGGGATCTCAGCTTTGCAGGCTGAAACGTTGTGCAAAGACTCCCAACCCCATCCATCTTTTCGCTCTAGCCAGGCTTGCCAGCATCCCCGCTGTGTGTGCCCGCTTAAGGCGGTGTGCCATCTTTTGGGTCCTCCTCACAGAAACGATATGCCTAGTAAGCCCTTGCAGCGAAAGACATACAAAACCAGCAGGGATGATTTTCCTGCCGCTTTGAGCGCATGAT